CATCCGTGGAGCCGCAAGGTGGGGACTCACCTTCATTCCCTTCACCAGTTCCTGGGCCCCTGATGACAACCCCAAATCTCAGGAATGTACAGATCTATGTTTTTGAAAAAAGGCATTTAAATTAAGGAGTGGTTGGGTGCTGTGTTCAAATATTTATCCCCCCCTCCCCCCTACCCCATGTGGCCTGGTGCAAGTTATTGAACTTTGCTTTTCTGGACCTGAGTTTCCTCATCTGTAAAAGGGGGCTAGTCCAGTAACCTGCACCTCAGGTGACAGGGGTGAGGGCCTGGCACAGAGTTTATGTTGGGCAAATCAGAGCAGATGCGGCTCCTCTGAGTGACCTGGAAGGGAGCCTGGGGACAGTGTGTTCTCAGGCAAAGGCTCTGGACCTGGCTGGGTCACAGACCCCCTGTTGGGTGCTGGTGGAGCCTCCTTTTCCCTGCCTGTGAAATGGGGCTGATAATGGCACCTGTCAGGACTTTCCTGCAGACACCACAGGTTCACTTTTCACCCAGGCCAGGGGCAGGCCGGAAGTGGGGACTCCAGCCTTTGGTTGGCAAAAGAGCAGTTGTCGGGAGGGGCAGGTGGGGCCCTATCCAGGGATGCAGTGGCTCAGTGGAGCCTGGTGCTGTTGGGGAGAGGGTGGGCTTCGGGGGTGCACAGCCAGCTCTGGATAGGAAGGCAGGGCTTCCCAGCTCTCCCGCCGAGTGTAGTCCTGGCTGGCAACCTTGGGTCAGAGCCTTAGATTCCCTAAAGTGTGGATCATGGAAATGGTTGTTTGAGTCTCTCTCCCTGGGAAATAGATGACCTTGGCCGCATTTTACAGATGAGAAAACCCGAAGCACGGAAAGGTCAAGTTCCTTGCCTAACGTCAGACCTCAGGTGCTGAATACTGGAACTAGTTATCGAATTTACGTCTTCTGAAGGCTCTGTTCTGCTCTCCACTTGTCGCCTCATCCATATAGCAACTCAGCCACCAGGCCATCTTTAGGAGGCTGCGGCGCATCGTGGGAGAGAGCACTTGACTTGGAGTCTGGGTTTGCGTTTCGGCTGCCCACTGGCCTGCTGAAGAAAGCCGGGCAAACCCTTGTGTGGTATTCAGTTTTGCCACGGTCAATTGGAACCTTCTTGAGAGTCAGGTAAGGGATTCCTGTTTTCTAGAGGACCCCAAATAGCGAATTGCAAAAAGAAGGAGATGGCTGAAGGTGTGGGGTAATGGTGAGTGGTGGTCTCTCTGAAAAGGTGAGGCGGGGGATGTTGGAGGTTGCAAGCAGAAGTGAAGATTTGTGGTTGCTCCTGGGAAAGGGGGTGGAAACCACAGTTTCTCTTTGGGTGCTTGTTGGCGGGGATGTCACTTCTGCTTTGGCCTTAATTTCCCCAGCTGCAGGGTGGGGTTAAGCTTCTCTTCCCTCTGTGTTTGGCTGGCAGAAGCATGGCCAAGGGCCTGCGGACCCCGTCTTAGGGTCCAGATCCTGGAGGTCAAATCCACATCACTGTCTGGGCCTCAGTTTCCCCGTTCGTACTGTGAGGGGGTCTTTTCTACACTCTCGGGTTCTCAGTTTTCTCACCTGAAACATTCCAAATGGTTTCATTGAGTGGCTTCTTTTGTCCCCCCAAATCTTTTCCCTCAGTCGCTGAGGTTCTGAGAGGGTAAGTGAATTGCCCAAGGTAACACAGCCAAATAAATAACCTAATAGCCAAATAAATAAGAACCCAGCACTCTATGACTCCAAAGTCTTTATTCTCTTTTATTTATTTATATGTGTTATATTATGTGTGTTATTTTTAACCTGTTCTTTCCGCTCAATGATATGCTGTGCTCCTCTTCTATGTGGCTATTTACATCATAATTCTTGATAGTGAAATCGCAATCCATCGTACTGTATTTTTTTAACTTTTAATTTTGAAAAAATGAAAAATTCACAGGAAGCTGCAAAAAAGGTTTTGTGTGCGTTTCATCCAGGCTTCTTCAATGGTAACATCTTTCACACCTAAGGTACAATATCAAAACCAGGAAATTGACTTTGGTACAATTCACAGCCTTTATTCAATTTCATCAGTTTTTATGCACTGATTTATGTGTGTGTGTGTGTGTGTGTGTGTGTGTGTGTTTAGTTCTATGCAATTTTATGACGTGTAGATTCTTGTCACCACCATCACAATGAAGATACAAAACTGTCCCATCGCCGCAAGGCTCCCTAGTGCTGCTCCTTTACAGAAACACCCCTCATCCCTAACTGTTGGCAACCACTAATCTGTTCTCCGTCTCTATAATTTTGTTATTTCAAGAATGTCATATAAATCAAATCATACTGTATGCAACATTTCGAGATTGGCTTTCCCTTGAGACCCATCCAAGTTGTGAGTAACAGTATATTTTTCTAATTGCTGAGTTGTAGTTCATGGTACAGATGTACCTGAGGTTGTGTAACCATTCACCCATTGAAGGCACATTGGAATTGCTTCCAATTTGGGGCTATTGTGAATAAGGCTGCTGTGAAGTTCTCATGTGCAGGTTTTGGTGTGAAGATGAGCTTTTATTTCTCTGGGATAAATGCCGAAAAGTGCGATTGCTGGGTTATATGGTATGTGCATGTTTAGTTTTATAAGAAATTGCCGGGCTTCCCTGGTGGCGCAGTGGTTAAGAATCCACCTGCTCGTGCAGGGGACATAGGATTGAGCCCTGGTCTGGGAAGACCCCATATGCCACAGAGCAACTAAGCTTGTGCGCCACAACTACTGAGCCTGCACTCTAGAGTGAGCCAGAGCTACTGAGCCTGCGTGCCACAACAACGGATGCCCGCGCGCCTAGAGCCCGTGCTCTGCAACAAGAGAAGCCACTGCAAAGAGAAGCCCCCGCTCGCCGCAACTAGAGAAATCCAGTGCGCACCAGTGAAGACCCAATGCAGCCAAAAATAAATAAATAAATAAATAAAATAAATTGAAAATAAATAAGCTATGTGTGTGCGTTAAAAAAACAAACAAACAAACAAAACTTAAGTGCCTGGTAGGGCTTGGTGACTGGTGAAGCTTCACCATAAGCTTGGTGCTGGCTGTTTTATCAAGGAGCACCAAAATGTCAGTAGCTACAGGATACTTTTCTTAGAATGGTCAGTTCTTCGGAGAAGAATTTTCTCCTGCCTTGGAGCATCATTGCCTGGCTGCTGGCAGTCTTTTGGAAGCTGATTGGAGGAGGAGGTGGGGAGGGGATGTGGCTTAATTTTCCTGTACCAGAATGGCACCTTGCAGATTCTCTCTGGTGCACTGTCTGCAGGGAATGTACTTTGTGTTGGAGGGTAGGGTTGAGGATGCAAGGGTGGTGAGGGAGGTTCCTGGATGCTCCAGGTGGCAGAGGAGATCTGGGGACCCAGCTGGTCATTTTAAAAACTCACAACCAACAGCCCCCGTTTTTAGCCTCACCCTTCATCCCACCTTCAGTGGTTCCTGATGCCTCCAGCGCTCAAGTGCTCCCATGGTTGTGAGGCTTGACCTAGCTGGCTTCCCCATGTCCCCTCCCCGATCCCCCCACCCGCTGTACTCACCTCTCCTTACTGCAAGCGCTTGGGTTCAACGTCTTATGGTCTGCTAACTTTTGTTTTTTTAAGCAGGTGGCCACCTGCTTTGCGGCCTCCAAAGTTTCACTGATATCTCTCATCTGCTGTTGTCTTCTTTCCCGTTGTTCTGTCTTTTGTGGCTTTGTGTCTGTTTTATTCATTCACTCTCATTTTAGTGGAGTTTCGGGGGTAGGCATAAATTTGCTATGTTTAAGCAGAAGTTTATTAGTTCATTTTAACTTTAAAAAAAATTTTTATTTATTTATTTTTGGCTGCATCGGGTCTTAATTGCTGCGCACGGGCTTTCTCTAGTTGCGGTGAGCGGGGGCTACTCTTCCTTGCGGTGTGTGGGCTTCTCATTGCAGTGGCTTCTCGTTGTGGAGCACGGGCTCTAGTTGCACTAGCTTCAGTAGTTGTGGCATCCGGGCTCAATAGTTGTGACATGGAGGCTCAGTAGTTGTGGCGCACAGGCCTAGTTGCTCTGCGGTATGTGGGATCTTCCTGGACCAGGGATCAAACCCACGTCCCCTGCACCGGCAGACGGATTCTTAATCACTGTGCCACCAGGGAAGCCCCTATTAGTTAATTTTAAAACCGAAGGAAATGAGGGCAGAGAGGGACAGATTCTTTTTTTTTTTTTAAACCAAAACATTGGATTTATTTTCACAAATTTGAACCTGACATCTTAATTCATAACTAACAGCTGCCATAGATTCTGGCAGTCACAAAAATAAGTGAAAATGAAGACAAGGTTTCAAAGCAAATGTTGAATACAGTACTTAACAATATGTTCAAATCACATTATACTTTAAAATGGGCTTTGGGGGAATCCTTTGTGGACAAAGGCAGTGGTTTTCCTGATGTCATCCAGCTGTTGTGATTCTTGGTGGCCTCTGACCTCCCACGATTGTCATCAAAACCAGCCTTCTCCTGAAACTCTTAGTTCTCGTCTTTTTCTCTGCTCCAACTTTTGGATTCCCCCAGCTGCTGTTGCTGGCAGTTTAATCAGAGAGGGACAGATTCTTGCCCGAAGTCACATGGTAGGTGAACGACAGGGCTGGACAGGATTAATGACAAGCAACTCCCAATGTTCCCCTGGGTAAGGTCAGAGCCCTGGGGAGGCTCCCAGAGATACCATTTTTTGGGAGGAGGCTGTGTCTCAGGCAGAGCTGCAAATGGCAGGCTTTACCAAATGGTCAAGGATTCTGGAGTAACAGAGACATGGCTTCAGGCAGCCTCATGCAAAGCAAGACGCCTTGCTCTCTGAGCCACGGTTTCCTCATCTGTGAAATGCAGGAGTAGTGAGGATCAAATAAGATGCTGCACGTCCTCTTCTTGGGGCATGCCAGATGCCTAGAGTTAGAGGTGGCTCTTTTACCGGGGTGACAAAGACACGCACCTTTTCCAGGGTGGGAGCCAGTTCTTGGAGGAGACTCGGTACAGGACATGGATCGCTGCGGGGCCCTTTTCCTCTGCCTGTGCCTCTTGATGTCTCAGAGCAGAACAGAAGGTAAGAGGGCTCCACTGAGCTGCAAGGGCCATCCTAGCCTGGACCCCTGGCTGTGATGTGAAGCGGGGAGGCCTCAAACCAAGGGATATTAAAAAGGGGCACTTAGGCCTCCTGGGGCAGCAGGAGGCTGGGGTGGAAGGCCCAGAGGCCATGGGGTGGGAGGCGGGGCAGCTGAAGACAGAGACTGAGGCAGATGTCTGACTCTCTCTTCACAGAGGCATCCCAAGAAATCCTGCGCTGGATGGAGAGAATGGAGATGGAAGCCAGGAGCCGGAGCCTCACTTCTTTTGCTGAGTGAGTTGGGTGTTCCTCCTCTCCCGCCCAGAGTCAGCTGTGCCTCCACCCCCAGCTTGCACCTTGAATCCATGGCCCAGAGTTGGTCCAGTGTAGACTGTTAATTCATTTATTCAACACTCATTTATTGAGTAGCTACTGTGTGCCCGGCACCAAGCTCTGGAGATGTGGGATAGACACATCCCTGTTCTCATTGAGTTTACTGTCTGGTTGGGGGCCCTGAACCATGGATGCCATGAAAACAGGTGCAGAATCATGGATCTCCATACATTTTTCTGGGAAGGGGCTCCAAGACTTGGGCTGGGCTCTCCAGGGTCTGTGACCCAAAAGCCTAGTAGCTCAGGGTGAGAGGCCAATGCTGATGACTGACCAGGGAAGTATAGGGCTGTGGAGCACTTCAGTCAGTGGGGAGCTGCCAGGGAAGGCTTCCTGGAGGAGGTGTCAACAAACCGGGACACAAACAAGAGTTAATGGAAGGAGATGGGTGGGGTGGGGAGGTGAGAGTGTGCCGGGAACACTGTATGCAGAGGTCTAGAGGTGGGAGTGACAGGGGTGTGGGATGGGGGAGGTTGTGGAGAGCCCCACTCACCTCCATCCTTACCCCGGGCTCTGGCCATCTCTCTCACTTTCAGGCTCATCCATGGCCTAGAGTCAAGGCTACTCAATGCCAGCTTTGGGGGCCATAATCTCACTTTGCGGACACATACCATCCAGACGCTAGCTTTCAAGCTGGACTGCAACTTCACTGGCCTCTCACTGAGAAGTGCTGCTCTGCAGCAGGTCCCCCAAGTCAGAGGTGGCCAGGGATTGGGGGTGGCCAGAGCCTCTACCCCAGAAATCCTCCGGGGGTTTAAGGTCTGGACTTTCCCCAGGGTCCATCGCCCACCTTCCCACCAATCAGGGCTCTGCCTTAATAGCTGTGAGTCGCCGCTTCTGTAAAATGGGGCTGATGTTCTTCATGTGAATAATGGAAAAGGGGTTCTTGTGGCCCCTCAGGGGCAGCGTCCTCTTCTTGCTTTTGCAGGTTCCTGGGGTGAGGCAGTCGTGGGAGAGGCCAGGGGAACGGGACACCTTTGAGGGCCCTGGTATGAGTCCTGCCGAATAC